TACTAAGAACATGGAGATGGGGTCTCCCCCGGACTCTGAGGAACGCCCCAGACAAAGTCCCCGCCAAATACGATAACAATTTGTTACACTTACGCATCAGAAACGACGTCATCCACCCTAGAAGAATACCATACTACAACAGAAAGATCCAGTTCTGGTAAGGGGATGCGTCGCCAGATAGTCGCCAGTTTTTTCGGCTTGTGGTTAGACAAATCTCTAGACTGGCATCTACCACTCGAATCAGGACACAAGGGGGTTTTTCTAACTTATCAAAATCTAAGCAAAAGAGAATCATAACATTTTGGAAGGGGTCTTTTCGTGGGAGGGAAACACTAAACACTCTTAAAGAGAGGATCAAATAAATTAATTAATCAAAGTCAGCCATTCCACGACCCATGGGAGATACGGCCAGTTGAGCCAAGAGCATTGAGAATTAAACGGCAATGAACGACCTTAATTCATAAGCTTATTAATGGTACAACACGCTTTCAGAATGATCATCCGGGGATCGATTCCGGAAGCGACTTCAGTTGCTTCTTATATTTATTAACTTCCATTTCTTCGCTTTCTCGCTCGATCAGGTCAAACATTTGACTTTCATTAATTACGACTGGTTTCATTTATTTATAGCAAACTAATTTTTCACAATTTAACTTGTCATCTTAGCGATAATTTTACATATTGGTGATCATAAAGACATGCATATATGTACATCGATTTATAGATCTATAATTTTTGTGTGTTCGGAAGGAAATATAATCTTTGGATTTTTCTCCTCAAGGAATCAATCCAACCTTTTCTGAAAGATGTGGGGCATTCAAACTTTCTAATGCACTATGTTTTTTTTTTTGGGAAACTATTTTTCGAGTCCTTTTAAGAACTTGTTTTGATGCTAGTTTTTTTTTTCAGAAGTAGCGGTTCGTTTTTTCACACAACTTAAGTATCTTAGATCTGATTGTAAGCAACATTGACATTCTGAAAAGCTTATTAATGCAGCTGAAAGCTACTGCAAATGAATTTCTTCATTCTGGCTATAATAATGATCAATTACATTCTCTATTCGGTGATCTGATAGATATGGCCACTCACTAAGGAACTGCGCTTTTGTTTCTTCTTGTTTTAAAATTGTGGATATGAGAGATTTTCGGGGCAGAAGGGGCCCGGGCCGAAATTTTGAAATACACTTGTTACAGATATCACACTGTTGCCAAGGCATCTGGATGCAAAATTTGGTAGCTACAGCTTTAATATTCTCTGATATCCAGGCGCTCATCAAGACGGATGGACACAATTCCATCTGTGCGTTATAACAAACACTTTTCACCACAAAGACAATATACCCTATTTACTCTTCGAATACCAGATATAAAAATGACATTTTTGGGTGGTATTTTAAACGAATTTTGACTTTAAAACCTCAGGAAAAGTCGATAATAAATTATCTCCTGGGTTCTATTTTGTATAGGTTCAGCCATTCGGCGTCGTTTAAGTTACTGTTCATCCAAATCTATGGAGAGACGGCTGAGCAAAAATTGGTGAACCAGCCCTACAAAACCCTACCCTAATACAAACGAAAAGGGACGTGTGAGACCCTTTTTATGCGTCACAACTTTTAAACCTGGCACTCAATACTACATCTGCACCTTGGCGGTAGTTTGTCAAATTTTACATTTTTTCTTCATCTGTCATCTACATCTATAACACTTCTCACACCAACACGCTCCGTTAGCTCGCCGCCCTTCCCTAGACCAACACACTGCAGACTCGCGGCAGAGGCAGCGCCCGCACACAAAAAAAAAGAAAACAAAAAATATAAGCTGTGGGACGGGGTGGGTTAAAAGTCGGAAGAGCCATCGGCAGGGGGAGGGAAGAGGCGGGGGCCGAGGGAAGCAGAAGCAGAGTGTGAATGAGAGAATGTAAAAAAAACAACAAAGGCTGCGGGACAGGGTTGGTTTAGCCACTGGAAATTAATTTCTTCATTCTTACTATAATAATGACCCAATCAGATCCCAATTTGGTGATCAGATAGATATGGTCACTCCCTACGGAATGGTGTTTTCTTCTTTAGTTTTCTTTTATCTTCAAAATTGTAGATTTGGGAGGTTTTCCCCCTTTTGCGTGGGCGGCAGGGGGCGGGCTCATTTTTGAAATACACTGGTTTCAGTGTGAGCATAGAGCAGTGTGGCTATAGCTCTTATAGTCTCTGAGATCTAGCCGACAAACAAGACGGACGGACGGACAGACGGACAGACAGACATGGCTCTATCGACTCGGCAATTGATGCTGATCAAATATATATACACTTTATGGGGTCGGAAACGCTTCCTTCTCTGCGTTACATACAACCGATATTCACACAAATACAATATACACTATTTACTCTTCGAGTACCGGGTATAAAAAAGGACATAAGGTATATAATTAAACCCGGTACTCGAAGAGTAAATAGGGTATATTGTATTTGTGCACAAAGTGAATGTATGTAACGCACAGAAGGAAACGTTTCCGACCCTATAAAGAATCAATCTCTCAAACCTACAGTTTTAAAGATAAAAGAAAACTAAAAACGCCATCTATCTATCAGATCACCAAATTGGGATCGGATTGGATCAATATTATAGCCAGAATAAAGAAATTAATTTCCAGTGGCTAAACCCACCCGTCCCGCAGCTATTGTTGTTTTTTGCACATTCTCTCAGTCTCTGTCTCTGCAGTCCCTCTGCAGTGTGTGGCTCTAGGGAAGGGGGGCCAGAATGTAGACGTAGATATTGATGAATGATGTAGAAAAAAGTAAAATTTAAAATTTGATAAAAGCCGTTAAGGTACAGATGTTCTATTGAGTACCGTGTATAAAATTTGTGCCCGTAAGAAGCATCTCACACGTTCCTTCTCATTTTTTTTTTACTTTTACTAAGATCACAAGTTTTTACACTTGAAAGTTTAATATTTCCCAGACGGTAAGCTAAACCACAAAATGTTTGGGTACTGTTCATACATAGATGCATTTATAAGCTTTTTTATAATAAAAAAGAGCATTTCTAATTCCCATATCTTTACAAAAAAATATTGGTTTGGTTCCTTAAGGAAATATCGTGTGGAGTATTGTTATTGAGTATTGTTTAAAGACGTTCACTATATTTGAGCTTCTGCCAGCCAGCTCTTTGTCGTCGCAACTCCCTATAGCTGTTGGGCAGGCCATAGGCAAAGTATATGGATAGACCTATATGAACATATATATATAGAGAACTAATTAGTTAAATGTGTGGATAAAATAGTTTAGGCATGCATTTGGCTGACTGCTTTCACCTTTTAAAGCCCAAATTTATTTTACTTAATTTATTTTATAGTCTACGTATTGTATATTGTGTATAATTAATCGTATTACAGTACATATGTACATTTATACAAGTAAAAATGTTCTATCATCTCAGACCAAGAGGTCTTTTGTAATACAACATTAGTCCATGCGTGAATAATTGTATAGTTAGAATAATCTGATTTTTGGCGATTTTTAAAGAGGCTCCAGTTATAAGTATAAGAACTAAGAATTCAACTATTAATACCAGGGACCATATTCATTATAAGGCACATTTTAAAAATCATACAATACAATTTTTGTTTAAGTTTATAGCATACCGATTACACTATCCGTAATGATTTTCCTCAAGGAACAAAACCAACTTTTTCTGAAGGATATGGGGCTTAGAAATGGTAGGATGATTTTTTTTCGTTCTATGGAAGAACTAGTTTTTAAAGGCTTTTTTTTACATAAATTAGGTATGCTACATCTGTTTTTAATAAAATTTGCCAAACACTTTGTAGTTTTGGCTTACCGTCTGGGAAACGTCTGGGAAGCTTACCAAACACTTTGTAGTTTTGGCTTACCGTCTGGGAATTATTAGGCTTTAAAATGCGAAAATGATGATTGGCGATATTTTTTACAAAGTTTTGACTTTAAAAACAACAAAAACTTAGACAAAATAAGCCTTACAAAAAATAAGAGTTTTTGAAAATTATTAAAAACGAAAAGGGACGTGTGAGACGCTTCTTACGCGTCAGAACTTTTATACCCGGCACTCAGTACTACATCTACACCTTAGTGGTGTTTTGTCAAATTTTACATTTTTTCTTCGTCTGTCATATACATCTACAACACACTTCTCACACCACCACGCTCCCTTAGCTCGCCCCCTTCCCTAGACCCACACACTGCAGACTCGCGCCAGAGGCTGTGGCCGCACACAGCAGAAGCAGAGTGTGGAATGAGAAAATGTGCAAAAAACTAAAAAGAGCTGCTGGGCGGGGTGTGGTTAGCCACTGCAAATTAATTTCTTCATTCTGGCTATAATAATAATCCATTCTAAGCTCAATTCGGTGATCTGATAGATATGATCATTCCTTACGGAATGACATTTTTAGTTTTCTTTTATATTTAAAATTGTGGATACAGCAGATGTTCGATCTTTGCGGGGGCTGAAGTGGACGGGGCAAAATTTGAAATATGAATTACACTTGCAATAGTGAGAGCATACAGCCATCTGGTTGCATAAATTGGTGGCTCCAGCTTTTATAGTCTCTGAGAACCAGGCGCTCAACAAGACGGACGGATAGACGGACGGATAGACGGACAGACAGACATGGCTATATAGACTCGGCTATTGATGCTGATCAAGAATATATACATTTTATGGGGTCGGAAACGTTTCCTTCTGTGCATTAGAATTTTGTGCACAAACCCCCCTTCGAGTACCGGGTGTAAAAATTGGCTTTGGTTCCTTGAGGAAAAATAGTGTCGGGTAGTGTAACTAATATAAATAGTTATTATCAATAAATATTATACCAAAAATTGTAAATATAAAAATGTTGGTGCATTTGCATAGTTTATCCTTGCTCTATTTATTATTATTTATTTATTTATTATTATTTATTTTATTTATTATATATATTATTTTTTTATATTATATTATTATTATTTATTATATATATATATTTATTATTTATTTATTGATATACAACTCTTTACAACCTACATTTCTTGGATTCCACATGAACGTTTAACTACTTTTAGCTGGGTAAATTGCACACTCTTTGGTTTCACTACGCACAACAGCCTCATTTAGCGTTCCGACTCCTCTGTCTCAGCCCCAACCCGGGTCGACTGCGGGCGCTGACGACGCACAGGGTCCGTACGCTGTTGAGTGCGGTGCGAGGGTCCGCGTTTCAATATGGCCTCCAATATCGATTTGAATGGAACCAACTGCGGGTCCTGCCCCTGCGCTGGCTCCAGCTCTGGCTCTAGTTCCGTTGAGGAAACTAAAGTTGCTGCTACCTCTAGGTTCTTGGCATCCACAACCTGCTGTTGGCTCAAACTGGGACGATGTTTGCGCAAATTAATGCTTTTGATGGTCTTGTGGAGATTTGGATCGAATTTCGGTGGCCGAGGAATATGCCCAGCCGGTTTGACGATGCTGCTGTTCGGATCCTGTTTCGCTGAGTAGGTGTGGGTGGCATATGAATTACAGGAGACATTAAAAACATTACCATCCTCACTATGGTCGATTTTAAGCCCGTTGATGGCCTTAAGCATTAGCCGGCGCACATCGGTTTCACTTTTTGATTGATTTAGCAGCGGCCGTTTTGGCCTTACCGCTGGTTCTACCTCAGCTTCACTCTCCTCGGGCTCGGGCTCCCCTTTCCTCTTCATTGATGTAATCACTTTGAGTGGACTGGCATTCATAATAATTTGGCTCAAGCGCTCTTTAAACTTGTCTGAATGCATGGGATACTCGATAGCCGATGCCTGAGACCGGACGGACGTATCGGATTCTAGACATCGATGTTTTGACTTATCTCTTAAAATATCCTTTGAATCGTTTTTCTCCTGAGGTTCAGCCGCCCCTTGGGACACTAAGGCCGCTTTCAGCTGCTCAGCAAATACAACGCTATTGAACATTTCATCGAGCATTTGCTGAGCAAACATTCTGCATTCCTTGTATTTTCGCAACTGCAAAGACTGATGACTTACAACCTCGTCATCCTCACTGCTACTATGCACAGTGGCCACGATGACGGTCTCTATCACACTCGGATACATCTCCGAGTCCAGACTAAAGTGACGCTCAAAGATGTGATTCTGCTGATCCAGTTCCATTTGTTGATGCTGTATGCCTTCCGCGTCTAGGACATCATCCAGCATTGCTATAACGGACTGTTCATCCTCCCGCGATGGCGATTCAGTCCCACCCAAGGTCACAGTGGAGTTCTCGCTCTTGGTGTCTTCCACGTAGAAGATCTTTCCATTGGCATTCTTCACTTCGATGAGATCTTCTCCCACCTCACTGAGTTTCTGTATTCGATCCAAGCTATTGAAGGAACTGCTCTTCAGTTGAGTGTCCTGGGTTATTATGCTTTCCTTGGACAGACCATTGTCTGCAGTCGTCGAAGGTCCTTTCAGGGCAGTAAAGTAGGCAAAGCGATTTCGCTTTTGATTTCGATTCTGTGGATTCTTACAGTCGTGAAGATACCGGCATGCAAGGAATATGGGTATACCTATGTTAGTACAGACATTGTGTTAAACGCAAAGTTAGTTTAAGAAGTGACATGCACTAGTCTACCTTATGCTCAGTACTTGAATGAGTCAAATCGCAAGCTTACCAACAATCATCCACACCCCAAAACGCACCCATGTCCAGCTGTCTAGCTGCAGCATCAGGTATAGATTAATGAATATGCTGATGGCCGGTACAACCGGAACAAAGGGCACTCTGAACAGCCGACTACGAGCTTCCCTGGGCTGCAGACATATCAGCAGGAGGATCAGGCAGATTAGCCCGACTAACACCACCAGCAAAGTAAGTGCCCACGCCTTTTGGGATATGATTGAGGAATATGCGTGCATAATCAGCAGCCCGAGACTTAAGGCAAGAATGCCTGAAATATATGGATTTTGTATATTTAATTGTGGTTCTGTAATGTTTATACTCACAGAAAAGTGCAGTCAGCATTCCTACAACTCTCGTTGATATCGTATTGGGCTCGGACACTCGATGAACGTTGAAGAGTTGCGTGCATACCGATCCGCAAGTTAAACGGTCCACCCTGGAGGTCAATGAAGTCATTTCCGAAGCTCTACTATCAATTTGCGGATAGATTTCATCCGGCTCATAGTACTCCATGTACCTGAGCAGCATTATGGAAATGGCTACCACGCTGTACGCCAATAAAGTGCCAATGGACAGGAGGCTGACCAACTGGGCAAGGTCGAACAGTCCAGCAATAACGGCCGTAAAGAGAGCAGCCACAATCGAACCGGTCACAGGTACTTGGAATCGCGGGCTCACCTTGCCCAGGAACCGAAACAGCATACCATCTTGTGCCATCGAATACATAACACGGGGCAGGGGAAACAAGGCCCCAAAGAGACTGGCCAGGAGTCCGATCAGGCCACCAACCGTGACGATCCACATGGCCACCGGCCAACCCACGTACTCAAAGGCATAGGGTAGCGGGGCATTGGCGTCCTGCAGATAGTAGGGCAGCATCAGGGTCAGTACGGTGGAGACGCCAAAGTAGCACAGGAAGATTATAAGAAGGGAGAGAAGGATCGATTGTGGGATATTCTTGCGGGGATTGCGAACCTCCTCCCCAGTTGTGGCGATACAGTCGAAACCCACAAATCCAAAGAAACAGGTGGCAGCGCCCTGGAGAGTCCCCTCGAAGCCAAAGGGAAAGTAACCTCCAGAGCCAATAGTGGCATTAGCACTCACAGTGGATGGGTCCACAGTCCAGTTGGTAAAGTTAGCTGGGATGGAAATGTGATGAACTTAGTGATTGCGAAACACGCACATAATAAAATATTTTACCTTTGATGGCGCCAGCTATGATGACGAACCCCAGTATGAAGATGTTCAGACAAGTGATGCAATTATTTGCCATTGTCGAGGTCTCCACGCCAAAAGCCAACGCCACTAAGGGAGTCAGAAATTAGGCAATCTATGTGAACAGAATCTTTTCCGAAACGTACCACCAAACACGAGCACCAATCCAAACGCAAAAAAATCAAAATAACTGCCAAGAAACTTGACATTCATTGGGGCCACCTCCGCAAAGGTTTCTTTCAACGTATCATTCAAGAGTGAGTCCAGATACAAGCTTATCCCTCGACAGACACTGGCAGTGCCTATGATATATTCCAAAATGAGATTCCAGCCAATCACAAATGCAGCAAGTTCCCCAATGCAGACGTAGCTGTACACATAGGCCGAACCCGCCTTGGGGACGCGCGCTCCAAACTCTGCATAGCAAATACCTTAAAATTGGAGAACTGATGGTAATATTCGAATAACAGAGATCGCCATGGATCCTTACCTGCTAGCAAGGAGGCCAGAGCAGCTATGGTAAAGGAGATCATAACCGAGGGACCCGCCTGATCTTTAGCTATCTGTCCGGCCAGCACATAGACCCCCGCTCCCAAGGTGGAACCGACTCCCAACGCCGTTAGATCCCATAGTCCCAGCACCCGGTTCAGCTTAGTCTCGCCTTCACTGCCTTCGGCCTGGATCTGTTTCCGTCGCGTCAAAACCTTCCAGGGAGATAGCTGTTGAACCATCGCTCTTTCTTTATCTTCCACTGCGCAAAAAGTTCATTAAACCCGAAGCTGGAAAGAGAACAAAATCCAATTTAGCTAAGGTACGAGAATATACCCAATCGATGTACCAAGATCATGTGTGGTTCGATCTATGTACATATTTACATACAAGTATGTGTTGGTCCAATGTCTTATCTTGCCGAAGCTTTCGATTATACGAACACTATGCAAATAATCGAGCTCAAATTGTAATCGCAATAATAGCCCCAACCGGGGCTAGGCGAGGCTATTGTTGCCATCGAATTCGAACTCGATTGCTTTACTTAGAACTGGGTATAGGTTTTGTAATACCACGTGCGAAAAGACTCGAAGAGTAACTAGGATATATTGTACTTGTGCTCGAAAGTGCATACATCAACATATGTAACGCAACGTAACCCGTAAAGTATACATATGTACATATTCTTGTTCAGCATCAATAGCCCAGCCGATATAGCTATGTCTGTCTGTCCGTCCTCTTCCGACGCTTCGTTCTTAGAGACCATAAGAGCTAGAGTCGCAAAATTGTGTGTGATGACTTGTATGATATCACACTGCCTCAAGTTTATTTCCAAATTTCGACCCCTTCCGCGCCGACAAAAAGGCTAAAGGCAAAAAGGCTGACAAAATCAGTTACATCCACAGTTTTGAAGATAAGAGAAAAGATCGGCTCTTTAAGTTCATTAAGATAATTATTAAGCCTAGAATGGAGAAAATCATCAGCTTTGCTTGTACCCGTTTGTCGTTTCTTCTCGGACGCACACTCTGCCTCGAGTAGTGTGCGGATCTGTGGGAGGGAGGGTGCCCAAAGAGCTTGTTGTTGTGAGAAGTGATGACATCTAGATGCCAGATGTAGAAAACATGTAAAGTGTAGAATTCGAAAAAATCCGAATGTTAATGTCATCCAACAGGTGACTAGGCATAGAACTCAGCCTCCCACGCACTTGGTGAAACGATCTGATGCTTAAGATATCTTCCCCAACTTTGTTTGTGTTTCTGTTAGATACATACATACGTACATACATATTTACATACATACATATATTCTACTTTTTTTCTCCTTGCAAATCTTTTCAAAGTGGGTTTAGTGAATTAAAAAAAAAAAGGAGATTACAACTTATTCTAAACCTAAATATTTTTAACGGAACTTTCCACGAAAACACTTACCAGGGTTTTAAAATGTATGTATGTAAGTGCAAGGTTGTGTCCAGCGTTTGTAGTTGTTTATTATCGGAATGAACAGTGTGCCTCGTGCCTTTGTTTTTACACAAGAAATTAAATAAATGGGTAGTAACGTGTGACTGACACACTTGGCGATCTGTGTCTGTTTTTGTCTCTATCTTGGACTGTTCTGACCAGGCCCCACGGGTGTCGTACCACTTGGTATTACGGACGCGAGTTCGTCTTCGTATTATTCTGAAGATAAGACAAAGCCGAACCTCAGCCGGATGAGCATGAGCATTGCCCATGAAGCAATTATATAAGGAGGTCTCGTCGGCTGCGCATCTTCGTTCGTTTTATTTCTTTAGAGTTCAGTGCTTGTTTGCTTGTCGAAGAAAACTTCAACTCCTTTTCTTGCAATGTGCAATTTTAAACCTCATGATATCAAAGTGTTATTCAGCACACTCCATTGACGTTTCACTCACATTTACAGCGCAGAGCCGTTTCACTCGCATTTATTGACAGCATTGCTAGGGAAGATTTTGCCGACGAGACCTCCTTATATAATTGCTTCATGGCCAAGATTAGGATGGAGAGAGCCGGAGAGCTGAAAACTGCTGGTGTGTTCCCGAACCGAACTGATACGACCACGACGACTACGACTCCCTCTCCGTGAACACCTTAAGAAGGTGTATGCACATACATTCATATGTATGTATGTACATACATATGTACATAGGTACGTGTGATAAATACGCACATATTTACATATGTAAGTAAATTATGGTTTTTTCGAATTTTAAATATTACATTTTTTCTACATATGTATGTTATCAACATCTACGTCACCACGCTCGCCACCCTCCCCCCCCCCCCCCCCCCCCCCCCCAAGACGATCACTGCATGAGGCAGTGTGTGGGAGCGGGAAAATAGCAAACAAGCCCTAGAAAATATGCTGAAGGGTGTGGGGTAAGCCACCGCAAATGAATTTCTTCGTTATTGCTATAATAATGACCTATGTTCTTTGGTGATCTGAGAGATATACATACATGCATATGTATGTACATAGACATTCTCTACAGAACTGCGCTCTCAGTTTTTCATGAAACAACTTTGATTCCGTGTGAAATCACATTAGTCCTCACATAAAATTTGGCTAGCTCATAGGGTCTCTGAGAACGAGGCGTCATTTTTCGAGCGCAAATACAATATACCCCATTTAGTCCCAGAGTACCGGGTATAATTAGCAGATATGGTGGGAGAGAGGGAGACTGAAAGAATCACGCCGAGTGACGTCGAATGCCGTTGTTTTTTCTTGTTGTTTCCCTTTGCGTTCTATGATCTTTGCGATAGCAAAAATAACAGATTTTACCGCGCTCACTCCCTTTTGCTCGTCACGACGCACCTACACACCGCAAACTGTTATATCAGATAAGATTATTGTTTTATGTTTTCATTTACTTTATTTCCGATCTACCGTTTTGGATACAAATTCGACCGTACCGTATCTTGTTCCCACTCTCACTCACGCCTTTATATGTACCTGTTGCACGCTGCAAATCTTTCTCCTCACTTTTGTGATTCTGTTTTTGACGTTTTCAGCGCATAACGTTACCTGAAAGTGTAAGATAATATTATGTCTGATATATACATACATATGTACATAAGTACAGAGAGTACAGAGTACGAACATATGTATGTAAATACATATGGATGTAGATGCGCTTTAGAATTGTTTAATTGGATGTTGAGTTTCAATTTATACACTTTGCTCGTCTGAAGTGGTTGATTCGGTTAATAAGCTTGGATGCGCTCTATAAAGAATGAGAGAATGAAATTATAAGTAAGCATTTGGGTAAATACTAATACGTGACATAGTCGTTAAGCCAACAAATGTTGTCTAAGGCATTTTTAGTTAATCTTAAGAAGTACGTAGCCTTCAATAAAATAATATACAATTTAGTTGAACTACTTTTAGATTGTTTTGTCCTCTTTTTCCATAACAGAAAAAATATATCAGTTCTTTTAAAACAATATGTAACTGTCAAATGTTATATTCTAAAAGCAGAGTTTTTGTATACCCTGCAGTACTAGAAAATGACAAAGGTCAACTAGCGTAAGTTAGTATTTTTATACCTGGTACTCGAAGAGTAAACAGGGTATAGTGTATTTGTGGGGAATAACGGATGTACAAATGTAACGCACAGAATGAAACTTTTCCGATCAGCATCAATAGCCGAGCCAATTTAGCCATGTCTGTTTGTTCGTCCGTCTTGTTGAGCGCCTGGATCTTAGCGACTATAAAAGCTACAGCCACCAAGTCCGTTCAGATGGATGTATTCTGACACTGTTATAAGTGTATTTAAAAACTGAGCCCAGCCCCCTTCCACACCACAATGGGCGGAAATTTCCCACAGCCACAATTTTGAAAATAAAAGAAAACGCAATTCCGTAGGAAAAAACTACATGCATATACATACATATGTATCTATCAGATCGCCAAATTGAGATCAGATTTGATTATTATTATATCCAGAATGGCTCTCATTCCACACTTTGCTTCGTGCAGTGAAGAGTAAATAGGGTATGTTGTATTTGTGGGGAATAACGGTTGTATGTAACGCACAGAAGGAAGCGTTTCCGACCCCATAAAGTATATATATTCTTGATCAGCATCAATAGCCGAGTCGATAGAGCCATGTCTGTCTGTCCGTCTTGTTTGTCGGCTAGTTCTCAGAGGCTATAAGAGCTAGAGCCACCAAATTTCGGCTCCGGACTGCTGTATGCTCACACTGAAACCAGTGTATTTCAAAAATGAGCCACGCCCCCTTCCGCCCCCGCAAACGACCGAAAACCCCGCAAATCTACAGTTTTGAAGATACAAAAAAACTAAAAACGCCATTCCGTAGGATGCCATATCTATCAGATCACCAAATTGGGATCCGGTCGGATCATTATTATAGCCACAATGGAGAAATTAATTTCCAGTGGCTAAACCCACCCTGTCCCGCAGCTTTTGTTGCTCTTTTTACATTCTCTCATTCACACTCTGCTTCTGTTTCACTCGGCCTCTGCCTCTTCCTTCCCCCTGCCGATGGCTCTTCCGACTTTTAACCCACCTCGTCCCACAGCTTATATTTGTTTTTTTTTTGTTTGTGTGCGGGCGCTGCCTCTGCCGCGAGTCTGCAGTGTGTTGGTCTAGGGAAGGGCGGCTAGCTAAAGGAGCGTGGTGGTGTGAGAAGTGTGTTGTAGATGTATATGACAGATGAAGAAAAAATGTACAATTTGACAAATAACCGCTAAGGTGCAGATGTAGTCCTGAGTGCCGGGTATAAAAGTTGTGACGCGTAATAAGCGTCTCACACGTCCCTTCTCGTATGTATGTACATTTATGTATTTGAAAGTAGGAAGATTTCGATGGTAAACTTTATCGCAAATTGGATATGTGCTGTCTACCGTCTTTTGGCAAATATAAATGATCCAATTTAAATAATTACGCCCACAAATGTGTCGCGCCTACCGACTATCTTAGCTTAATGCTCGAGGAAGGATATTGCCTTTAAGCAAACTAATTTCAAAGTTGGCTGTGCTTATGGCCTCACAAAGTGTTTTTGTATCGCCATAGTCAAGGCTCAGTTTGTGTCTTAGGGATATTATACTAAAGTTCTTAATTTGGTAAAAAGAAAATGACTGTTTCGTACACAGCTGAGGTGGCCTCATGCCGCCACTTTGGCTGCTTCTGGAAACTCTTGGCTAGGTAAGATGACTTTGATTTTTCGAAAAAGGGCTGTGTATCGAATGAACTACGTAATCGGCAGATGGCGCGCCAGTATCTACAAGATTATATGGGTGGATTTATTGGCGTTTCTAGCCAGTTTCTATTGTATGGCCCTGCTGTACCGCTACGTTCTCAGGGGTAGTGACAAAGAGTAAGTTTGCGTTTGTTCCACCTCACCCATAAGAAGCTCTGAAATATGATTTTTAGGATCTTCGAGGATATTGTCGTTTACTGCCACAGCTATGGCAGCCTGATCCCTCTCTCGTTTGTGCTGGGCTTCTACGTATCCATTATCGTAGACCGCTGGTGGAATCAGTATATCACAGTGCCCTGGCCGGATCCCCTGGCGGTGTATGTGAGTGCGCTGGTACGCGGTCAGGACGAGCACGGACGCCTCATGCGGCGCACCATTATGAGATATGTGTGCCTTTCACTGACAATGGTCCTGACCATGATATCGCCGGTGATCAAGCGTCGGTTCCCCAGCTATGACTACCTCATTGAGGCGGGCATGCTCAACGCGAACGAGGCAAATATCATCAAGGCCATGGACACCAAGTTTCCCAAGCATCCTAAGTACTGGATGCCCATCATGTGGGCCAGCAGCATTGTGACGCGTGCCAGAAAGGAAGGACGCATCTGGGACGATTTCTCCCTAAAGTCTATGATTGATGAGCTGAACAAGTTTCGGGCAGGCTGCAACATGCTTATTCACTACGACACTATTAGCGTTCCTTTAGTCTATACACAGGTGGTGACCCTGGCGGTTTATACGTACTTTATGGCTGCCATATTTGGGCATCAGTGGATCGACAGGGAGTTTGCCTCCGGGAGCCGATATACGAACGTCATCAATTATTACTTTCCCCTATTCAGCACCCTAGAGTTCTTCTTTTTCATGGGATGGCTGAAGGTGGCAGAGACTCTGATCTGTCCCTTTGGGGATGACGACGATGATTTTGAGCTCAACTGGCTGATAGATCGGAATCTTCAAGTGAGCTATCTAATTGTGGACGAGATGCATAACGATCATCCGCAGTTGGTTCGGGATCAGTACTGGGACGAGGTTTTCCCGAATGAGTTGCCCTATGCAGCGGAGGGACAACGGGCCGAACATCCTGAGGCTTCTACAGCTAGAATGGACCTGTCTAAGATCAACACGGTGACTTCGGTTCCGAACAAGGCTCACAGCCTCGATCTGGAGCAGGATTGGACAGATTTCGATGAGGAGGACGAGGGCGAGAACGAGAACGAACTCCGCATTCGATTCGCCCCGCGGGACTTCCGCTCCATCAGGAGCTCTGTTTCTATCTCATTTTCCACGGATGGCCGCTTTTCACAGGTCGATGAGGAGTTTGGCGAGGAGGAGAACCTAAGTCGAGAGACAAGTAAAGACGACTTCGATCGTCTTAAGGAGGAGCGTGAGCGAGAACGCATCACTCGCC